CGGGGCAAGGGAGTTAACTGACTACAAAAGTCCCGTTTCCACTCTTGCCGAACTAGGCTGGTGTTATGGAGTTAAATTTTGGCATGACTAATGAGTCTATGCATAGTCCAATAAAATTCGTGCTCCGAAATCAAAACCCGGTTCGTAAACTGTCATGCAGATTTCAGTCGATTGCAGGATTTGCAAAGCATTTGCACCGCTTACTCGTTGTCAGCAGATATTTTCTAAATCTTTTCTTGTTTTTAATCAAGGTGTTCACTTGTTTTAATGCACATCGTGATGTAAGACTTGTTTTATCACACTATATAGATCTTGATTATCGATCAGATCGTCTTGACTGGGCACCGCCGTTTTGTTTGAAGCAAATGCAAGTGATACGAGAGTTTGAATCTGATTGGTCCATATGAGAGGCATAGAAGGGACATAACTCGTAAAACTGGACTTTTAAACTCAGTTAACTCTCTTGCCTCGGGAAGATGGTTACCAAAATGGACAACTCCAACAGAGGCATCTCAAGCCTGTCAGGAACTAATCCACTGCAATTGTAAACAAGCATGTTGAGGACAATGCAAATGCTCAAAAGCCGATTTGCCATGCACGGCGCTGTTTATGTGCGGGAAGCTGTCAGCAAGAAACAGTCTAAACTTTTATTGATATTTCAATAGTAAGGATTTTAGGAACTCATTGGTAAAATTAAAGTTTTAAAATGAATTAATATTTGTAAAGTTTCTGTTCTGCTATCATTTTTGAGACATATGAACTAAAAGAAGGTCAACGCTGCTAGATTTACTCAATATTTCATAAAAACAGTTGATGTAACTTTTTCAAAGTTAAATATCATTAAATATTCTTTTGAATACAAACCTTGTTTCTTATTTGTAAGATTGGGCAATAAATTCAATTTCAAATAAACTCAATTTTTCATCAAAGGAAATTTTAATCACCGAATAGGAGGAATTCAAACACTTAATGAAAGTTTCAGAAGACGCCATTTGAAAACAAATATGGCCGCCATATAAATAGAAATAACAAAACAAAGCACAAATATAATAGAATATACTAACAATATCAATTTGAAATATATTTTTAAAAAGTATTTAATTTAATGATTATTCAGGTACATTACACAAGACAATTTACAAAACAAAAGCAAATTTCAATGGCGACCCTCTTGAAATTCAAGATGGGTCTTGCTTTTATTTTAACTAGGGTTACAAAATGGACCTATATACCAAATTTCATGCTTTTATCACGATTTGAACTATTTTGATGTTTATCCGCTGGACTATAACGGGATCGTGTGTGGTCAGGCTCATTGACTTGGTTGATGCATGTCATCGTATTCCAATTGCGTAGATCGTTAGTTATTCTCTTTGTTTGTTAGTTGTTTGACGCCGCACCCAACAATACTCCAGCTAAATGACGGTGGTCTGTAGGAACAATCCAGTCTGGACGAGACAATCCAGTGATTGACATCATGAACATCGATCAAGAAATTGGGATACGACGACATGCATCAACCAAGTCAGCGTGCCTGACAGGGTGCCGTTCCTCAAAGCCACCTGAGCGCTACGACTGTGTTAAAATGTCGGAGTTAGCGCGAAGTAGCTTTCGTGAAACGGCACCCTGGGAGGCCGGAATGTGACGTCATATCGCTTCAACTGACCCACCACCGAGAATCGCTGAAATACACATGTGCATTTACCGGAAATTTATTACACTCGATCTGTCGATCTTGTCTACACTAATGGGTACTACACTGACGGGAAAAAGAAAGCAAACACTTGACAATTGGATTTGAGCAAGAAATAGACAAACGTTATAAAAACATTACTTGGCTGACCTGTTGTTTGACTTACTGATGCGATGCCTGTTGTGTCTCCTGTGCTACCCGTATCAAATACATTACCATCGAATAATAATAATAATAATAATAATAATAATAATAATAATAATAATAATAATAATTTCTTATTTGTTTTATTTTTAGCCATCGTCAAACATTTGACCATCAGTCCCCGAACTAAAAGTTACATATACGGCCAATGAACTAATATCATCATGGAACCCTAGATTTGGCTCAGACCTGAGAAGGGGGCGCGGATAAGAGTGAGATGAGGATGTGACTGTTTATAATTAAGACTTTAAGAGGGACTAACGTTTCTCGTCTCAGCGACTAGATCAACCATGGAGAGACTTACAGTAAGTAGCCTTAGCGCTAAGCTCGCTTTGTGGAACGGGGCTCAAGGAATATAGGGAAAGACAATGCGAATTAACAGTTAATACACACCATGGAAACAGTGAATTAACAAATCCCGAATCAAGAACGAAATAAGGGCTCTGTATCCATGTTAAGGAAGATATGTGTAAGTATATAGAAAATAGCTTCGCGATAAATCGCAAAGAACAAAGAAGAACGAGGCGTAATTTATTAAAAAAGAAGTTTGCCCTACTACATTTGTACTGTAATAAAGTATAGTTTTGCCCTGAACTATCATACCTAAAGCACGAGGTCACTGCCCCCCCCTCGATCTATTCTCCCTGCGGTGTTTCATTGGACGATAAACAACTGTCCCTCTTCGTTCGTGTCTTTAAAGGGGCGGTGGGGTAGCCTAGTGGTTAAAGCGTTCGCTCGCCACGGCGAAGACCCGGGTTCGATTCCCGACTTGGGTACAATGTGTGAAGCCCATTTTGGTGTCCCCCGCCGTTATATTGCTGGAATATTGCTAAAAGTGGCATAAAACAATACTCACTCACTCATGTCTTAAACACCAAATAAACTTACAGACGACCCTCTCTCGCCAAACAGCACTTGGCAGTGGGGACAGGCGTGTCTATATAGCTGTTGTATGTCGTGAGTTGCAGTTATGGACAGTTTGACAAGAAAGTTGGAAGTACAGTCATAAAAAAACACTTTAATCCCAACATCCCCCACGCCCTTTTCGATCATCATCATAACACACCGCATGCTGTCGTATACTGTGTTGCCGTTGAACACTTATGTTTTGTTTTGTTTGTTTGCTTTTAAACTCGGCAATATTCCAGCTATATCACGGCGGTCTGTTGATAATCGAATGTGGACCAGACAATGCAGTGATTGATATCATGAGCATCGATCCACGCTAGGGTTGGGACGAGTCCAAATTTACTACCCGGGTACCCAGCCCCCTATTACCCGACCCTTCCCGGGTACCCGCTTTAGGTCTCAAGAGATATGTACAAATGTCCGATTGGGAAACGTTTGACCGTACTCCTGTCAACATGTATTTAGATACAGATAGATTTAGATACAGGTATAAAATGATATGGTCATGCATACACTGAAGTTGACTGAAATTTTATCTTTATGCAAACATATAAATTCAGAAGGAATGTTTGCATAGTCGGAAAGATATGTGAACATTTGTCACTTATAGTGTAACCATAGAGTTCTAGATAATTTTTGCCATTAAACAATATAACCACGTGACTAACCACGGGTCCGGGTAGTCCTTGGGGTAATCCAAGGGGTCCACACACACAAACACAGCTAGAGTGGGTATACCGAAAAATCATATCAGCGTTCGTTAAACGTAAGGCGAAATACATGGGTGATATTCGGTCATGACGACCTGCTGCGCCTACGGTAATTAATATATCTGAAGGGGAAATGCTATGGTTAATTCCGACCAGTTATGACTGTAATGTTTAGCAAATACCAATATATTTCTAAAATACAGGAACCATTATGAATCTGCAGTAGAACGCATGCACAGCTCTTGTTCATTCAGACAAGAAATGTCGGCCGATTTGTGGGTCATCTCAAGATCACGCAGTGCTGTTAGATTGTGACCTCAACAAGGGCTGGTAGATAAAGAGGCATGGCCCTAAATGTGTTTGTATAGCACCGATGATTACGTATGACTATACCTGTACTGTTAGTCAGCCAATCAAATTGCTCGTTGAGACACACCTTCACTGAAGGCCCGGAAGGCATTTATAGCCTAGTTCAACATTGTAGAGAAATCAATGCCAGGTTGATGCCAATAGAGAGATTCTTGTGGTGGCTTTTTTTCTTAGATACATAAATGGTGATAAAAAACCCCAACAACATAGGGTCGAGCAGGGATGGGACTGAAAACACGGCTGTCAAATTTGTTGAAGCAAAAAATTATTTTTCATGCTCAAATCAGGTTCAGGGAAAAACAAAAACACACAACAGACTTTTGTCTTGCATAATATATGTATAAAACTCATGGATGACGTTATGTAATTGTACCATTTATGTACAGATGAAATATTGAAATTGTTACATGACTGGCTGTAATACTGAGTATCAATCAATATCAAACAAGTATCCGAATTTTGGTATTTCACGAGATAGACAACACATAAATGTCCACATGAGTCTGGTAAAATCAGCCAGACACAAACGCGAGGCATACTCTCTTTGTTATTAATATTAATTAATACTGCGGTGAAAAAACATGTACGAGAAGTTAACATTGCCCAAAGGACGTCTACATTGATACGCGGTGACGTCATTTACTCGCTCTATAACAAGGGGTGTGGCGTCACACAGACATTGTAAATATTCAGATGATGACCAGTTTTTAAGATAAAGCCGTCTTTTCTAAGTGGGTGGGATGCTTTAAGTTGTTCTTGTGATTAACGCGAAAAGTTTCTTAAGCGTCCGAAAACCCATTACACGGGGATAAAAATATTTCTGAATCTTCTTTCTTTAATAATACATCCCCGTGGGAATTCTCTACAAATTAGATTTTACATTTGTTTGTCAAAGGACCTTTACTTATACATGATGTCTTTACTCATGGCTTATTCACATTTCACAGCAGTTTTGTCAGTAAAAAAATGGAAGCAGTTTTTATTTTCGTGACCCAGTGAAAAGCCCAATGCGATGGCAGAGGCACAAGCCGAGTGGATCCGAGAGCCCAAGTGATATGAAACAGACTTTATTACGTACTACATAAACAAGCTGGTTACCTCCCTTGGCAGTGTTGACTAGTGAATGGTGATGAAATGGCGTTGAGGTATATATCGCTACTCTCTAAATTTCGACCAGGAAAATGGAACGTACGAACAAATGTGACCAAATCCGGGGTGGACCTAAAACCAGCCTCATCAACGCAAATATTAGAAAAAAATGGCAACGTAGAAAAGCCGACTGAATCATATAACGACGGTCACCCTGTCGTAGATTTGACTTTCGAAAATGCAAGAGAGGCCTACAGAAGTAAAACGACATCGGAACTCGCGCGGGCCCTGCTTGTATTCAAGCTCTGCTCCGTCAATTATCTCGTTGATAATCAAATAGTAGTGAGTATGCTTCCTTAATTGTTTATTTATAATTAATAGTATATTGCCGACAGCACTAGATCTATGACTTAGTTAGTATCTGTGAGCCGGTCGGTAAGTCCCAACTCCAAGAAAACATGACGAGTCATATTATTGAAACAAGCTTAATTAGGCCTAATGATGAAAGAATTTAATTTCACCACGAATTTCGTAAACAATTGATTGATCAATCAGGGGTATCAATTCACAATAACCCCCCTCTGATTGAAACAGTCGATTTGACGGCCAAGTCATCACGGAACCAAATATTTTTAAAATAATAGATCTAGAATCTACTTCTTTTACAGTAACTGCAGGCAGGCAGGTATACATTGTCATATGTACAGTTATAGACAACAAAATGCAAAGTTGCAGTTCAATATTCAAAGGATGTCTGGCAATACATTTTGTGCAGAAAACATGACAGAAATCTACAAAGAGAATGTATTTCAAGTTTTGAGGACCACAGAGACCTTCATATATGACACTTATCTTTATTATATACTTCAGTGTGAAAGACTGAGTTTTCTGAAGTTGAGAAAAGTGATATTTTCATGGCAGTGAACATAACAGTTGATATTTAACTGCAGTGAACATAACACTTTCACTGGGGAAAAGGAGACATTTTCACTCGAGGCTACGCCATACGTAAAAATATCTCCTCCTCCCCCCCCCCCCCCCCCCCCCCCCCAGTCACTCAATGAGAGAAACATGATATTTCACTTGACACATGAAATATCCTCTATATATATCATGTGTATATGACTGTGCAGTGTTCCCGGTTACCGTAATTACCAGTTTTTTACCGGTAAAAATTAGGCTTGGACCGGTAATTCATGTTACTGCCAGTCCCTGTGGACCGGCAACTGTAGCATCTTATAAATCTTTGTTGTTGAACAAAACATTGACGATATTCATATAAGTATATATTTCGAACAAAGTCAACTTGCAGTTGACTTCTTGGTTCCCCTTGTGTTTTTAGTGCTATTAAATAGCATTTCGCTTCAAGGTTAAATATATATTTGCAGTGATTTGCACCATAACTTGTTTAAAGCAAGTTTAAAGTCTGTTGAGGTGAATCCGTCAATTCTGATCAACAACCCACTCAAAACATTGGCATCAACCCATGCGCTTCACTAAATATATTTGCAAACACTAACAAGTTTGTTTTATTAAGTCATGGTAGAATGGAGATAAACTTATTGTGTTTTCAATGTAGAGCTTATTTACTTGTAGATTTTACCGCTCTAAATTGAATTTGGAACCAACTGCATTTTCTGATAACATTCATCTTCCCGAGGCAAGAGAGTTAACTGACTTTAATAGTCCAGTTTCCACCCTTGCCAAACTAGGCTGGAATTCCTGGGCTCGATTGTAGCGCCACCAGTGGTTATTACGAGTTATGTCCCTTTTAAGCCTCTCCTATGGACCAATCAGATACAATCACTTGCATTTGTTTCAAACAAAACAGTGGCGCCCAGTCAAGACTATGTGATCGATAATCAAGATCTATGTTGTGATAATACGGGTCTTACATCGCAAAGTGCATCAAATCGTGCGGGCACCTTGATTAAAAACATGAAAAGGTTTGGAAAATATTTGTTGACAACGAGTTGGCGGTGTACATTATTTTCAAATACTGCAACTGACCGAAATCTGCACGACGGTTCAGAACCGAATTTTGTTGCTCGATTTTGATTGGACTATGCATAGACTCGTTAGTCCGGTCAAAATGTAACTCCATAATACCAGCCTAGTTTGGCAAGGGTGGAAACTGGACTTTTATAGTCAGTTAACTCTCTTGCCTCGGGAAGATGGATATCATTTTGATCATGTACTTCTGTAGGTCATTGCGTACAGCTGTTCTGCTTTGCTACTCTGGGTGGATGATTTATTAGTTTGTTGTTTAACGCCGCAATCAGCAATATTCCAGCTATATGACATTTGATGATGTTGGTGTAACAGTTGGCAACATCTGTTTCAGATTAACAGTTAGTTTATTTCCCAATTCTTCCTAGCTTAGAATATTGTTTTAATAGTTTGATTAAGGTCTTTTTGAAAAAAATAAAATATGTTCAGCTAAATGCTTCACACAACATAAATTTGAAAATAATAACAAGAAATATAGTCTAGTTAATTATGTACAGAAATGTTTTTTGGTTTGTAATTGAAAATCATTTAACCCTTTCATACATATATCTTGACTGCTTTATCAGGCTGTACATATTAGCCTTGAAATTACTAAAACAGCAGGGGTCAAAACCAACCAACTACAATGAACTAGTCTACAGCTACATTTGTCAATTCCTATCATGGGTACAATGTGTGAATCCCTTTTCTGGTATTGCTGGAATATTGCTAAAAGAGGCGTAAAACAATACTCACTCTTTCACTCACTATGTCTTAATTCAGACTAGTTATATATGTGTCATTTGGTGAGAAATCGTCTCGTCCTCTTAAATTTCAGAAGTCTCGGACTAACAGACTTGTGTCCGTGCCTAACCCTGAAATATGAAATAATATTTGTGTGGCTTTAACGAATAATGTCATGTGATAATACGGTGATATTCTTTCATCTTACAGTAGCAATGTTAAGTCACTAAACATTGGTGAAATTCTATTTTTTAAGAATAATGAAAAATTAGAGTATTGTCATAAATTTTGTCCCACTGATTTGCTTCATCGAATGATAGACGGAAATACAGTTTGTATGTGTGGTGTCTCAACCATGTTGATATGTAATAGGCACGGCACACAGGTCACAAAATCAGGTGAAGTTAACCAATGTCTGTTGCGGAGAGTCTTTCGATGGGTGAGACTGTCTCCGCGGTCTAGTGGTAGAGTGTCCGCCCGGGGAGCGGAAGGTCATGGGTTCGATCCCCGGCCACGTCATACCAAAAGACGTTAAAAGATGGTACTTGTTGTTACCCTGTCTGGCGCTCGGCATTAAGGGGCTAAAACAAGGACTGGTCGGCTCGGAGTCAGTATACTGTGTCTTAGTGGGGTATTCACGTTAAACTGCGGCATGGTATCTCAGTGAGCTAGCACTATAAATCGGCATCAGTCCGGACTAGTACAAGCAGCCACACAAACACGCACATGTACATGCACGTCGCTATATAAGTGCAATAATCTTGGACGCAACGTTAAACCCCATTTCACCTCACCTCACCTCACCTTCGATGGGTGACAGTGTTCGACAGCTTGGCTCCTGAGAGTGTCTAGGGCTTTGGTCCTGCCCCACACTGTAGCACATGTGGTGTCTCCTTGGGCGAGTGACCTTGTTCGATTTGTGCCTCTGTTCACCCAGCAGTGAATGAGTACCAGGGAGGGTGAGATGGCAATGTGGTTGTTAACCTTCTACTGCCTAACAGGCAGCTTGGGTTGTATACTCCCCAGGGAGCTGAGAATGATTGTTGAGTGCACACTGATCCACTGACCGGGGTAATGAATGTCTAAGCGCTTTGAGTTTGCTTATGCAGGGAATACGTCATATAAGTGGACTATTATTATTATTATTAATAGCAAAAACAATGACGTTTATCATGTATTGACCATGATAGCTGATAAATATATATATCATATGTAGTTGCCTGTTTTTTGTCCAAACAAGTCATTCAATACCAGGCACATTATTTTGAGTGAAACTATGTATTATAGTGTTGAAATGCATTGTGTTGCACAAATATGTTATTGTATGTATAGGGAGCGTACAGTATCATCATTTACCTGTGAAAATCCCGGGTAGATTTTATCGTCAGCAACCTATGAGGCGACTAATGGGATTGGGTGGTTAGCCTCGGTTGATGCATGTCATCTTATCCCAATTGTTTAGATCTATATCATTGTATACCAGTGGTAGAAACCAACTGTTTAAGTCCACTAGTCCTTATAATGCATATAATAATAACATATAGCAAACCCCTTAAAAATGGCAAATTTTTTCTAGTCCTTATGATACCTTAACTATTGGGCAGTTTGGCAAGGACAACAGGACTAGTGCCAATTTCTAACGCTGTATGCTCATGATGTCAATCACTGGATTGTCACCCCACCAAACATCAAATATTGGCCCAGCCTGCACCCCACCAAACATCAAATATTGGCCCAGCCCGCACCCCACCAAACATCAAATATTGGCCCACCCTGCACCCCACCAAACATCAAATATTGGCCCACCCTGCACCCCACCAAACATCAAATATTGGCCCACCCCGCATCCCAGCAAACATCAAATATTGGCCCACCCAGCACCCCACCAAACATCAAATATTGGCCCACCCCTCACCCCAGCAAACATCAAATATTGGCCCACCCAGCACCCCACCAAACATCAAATATTGGCCCACCCCTCACCCCAGCAAACATCAAATATTGGCCCACCCAGCACCCCAGCAAACATCAAATATTGGCCCACCCCAAACCCCACCAAACATCAAATATTGGCCCACCCCAAACCCCACCAAACATCAAATGATTGTCACCTTAGATGTTCAGCTCCAGGACAAAATTATCAATTTCAATCACAATTAGGAAAATCCTAATATTAGCTTGTGTTTAGGTTGGCAAAATGGACTTGCATTTCAAAGATAATAAGACCAATAAAAAAGAAAAGTCCATATGGAACTTTGAAGTATTTATTGGGGAATATTATGTTTCTTGCCTGTATGGGCACATTGTTCAGCTTCCTGGAGTGCCCTAGGGTAAGATATTGTCCTTGACACTCTATTTTTATCCATTGTCACCTTGAGTTGAATGTCTAATGGATCAGGAACAGCTTAGAAATTACTGGAGTGGAAAAATGGGTCAGCCTTTGTTACCTCAGATTGTATAAAAAATATCAAGAACAGTGTGGTGTGCATGGACACAACGATGTGGTCCCACTCCCACTCATGGTGAACACTGGTTGCATTGCTGTTTGGGGGGATTCAGGATTTAGCCTTACAGGGCCTGAGAATATTAAATAGTCAGTCCCAAACATG